CTTCTACGTATCCTACAGGATATCATCCGTGTCGAAGATATTGAATTAAGTTATGATACATTTCCAGTTCCATAGTGGTAAAATGATTTTTATTATTGTTATTTGCGTTGTGGGTGAGAATTCGTTAGAGTTTGATAATAAAAGCAGAATCAAGCAGGTGTGAATAGTTAATGGGTTAGCAGTTTATTGTCGCTCATACATTCGAGAGAGGGAGTCAGCATTCTGGTTGGTTTTTCCGCTTCGATAAGTGATGATGAACCGATACTCCATGAGATCCATTATTCATCGAGCGATTCGTGGTCCAGGATTCTTCTGTTTGTTGAATAACCAATGAAGGGCGTTATAATCAGTTACTATTTCAAAGAGTGGTCCCAGAAGATAATGTCTGAATTGTCGAATGGCCCAAATTACGGCTAACGCTTCCTTTTCGGTAGTACTATAATTCTTTTCAGCAGGTTTAAGAGATACGCTGGTGTACGAGACAATGTGTTCTTTCCCATCGTCATCCTTCTGAGCTAGAACAGCACCAAGACCAGTGTTGGAGGTGTCGGTATATAAATAGAACTTGCGAGTGAAGCCTGGATATATCAATATAGGAGCAGTGATCAATTGTCGTTTCAATTTTCTAAAGGCATCTTCCTGGGATTGTGTCCATATGAAGGTGATATCATTCCTTAGTAATTTGAACAGTGGAGCGGCAACTTGCGAAAATCCTTTTACGAATTTTCGATAATATCCAGCCAGTCCTAGAAAAGATCAAAGTTGTCTAACCATTCACGGCTGAGAAAAGTCTTCGACCTTTTTTATGGTGTTAGGATCAGGTAAAATTCCTTGTTCGTTTACTATATGTCCGAGGAAAGCGAGTTCGTTTTTCACGAAGTGGCATTTCTCTTTGTTTAATTTTAGTCCGGCTTCTTGAATCTTGTTAAGCACAGCTCGAAGATGATTTAAATGTTCGTGGAAGGTTTTGGAGTAGACATTAATGTCATCAATGTAAACTACGACAAATTTCCAGTTACAATCGATCAGCATCATATCTATTGCTCGTTGGAAGGTGGCGGGTGCGTTGCAGAGTCCAAATGGCATAACATTGAATTCGTATAAGCCATCTCGAGAGATAAACGCGGTCTTGGCCTTGCTTGATTCTTCCATAGCAATTTGCCAGTAACCAGATGATAGATCCATCGAGGAGAACCATTTTGCTCCTTCGAGATTATCGAGCATCTCATTAATCCTTGGTAATGGGTAAGCGTCTTTAGTCATTTTCTCATTCAACTTGCGATAATCGACGCAAAGCCGTTTCTTTCCATTTTTCTTAGTGACAACAACAATTGGTGATGACCATGGGCTCGTCAATTTGGTGATAATTCCAGATTCAATCATTCGATTGATTTCTTCGTGGATGAAGTCCTGGTCAGGTATGGTAGCACGATATGCTCTTTGTCAAATAGGAATTTCATCGGTGATTTTGATTTCATGTTGTGCTAGGTTAGTTTTTCCTAAACTTCTCATTTCCGTTGTAAATATGTTGTCAAATTCATCTAATAAGTTTTTTAATTGTTGTTGTTGGAGTTTATTCAACGTTCGTTGTCGTATTGGCTCTAATTCTTCTTCTTGATGTAGGAAGTATGCTTCTAGGTCAGTTTTGTTAGTAGAGCCGAATCCTCGAATCCTGCGGCTGCTGCTTCCTAGCTCGTTGCATGTGGTAACGGGTTGTAACCCATCAATCGGCGCTAGTTGGAGAAAGACAGCCTGCGCGATTCGATCTCCTGGTTTAATTAGATATGGTTGCGATGAATTATTGCTCAGAATGACACCAATATTTCCCGTATAGCCAGCGTCGATGACTCTTCCTTTGACTTTAATTCCTTTCATTGCAAGTGATGATTGGGACATTAATTGGCAAACGGTTTCCACGGGAACTTCGAAAGCGATAAATAAATCGATTACGATAGTCTGATGGGGTTCCAGAAGTAAGTTCATTTTTCCTGGATAGTAAAGATCGTAAGCTGCATCATGTTGGTGAGCGTGTTGAGGCAGTTGTCCTTGTTCTTGATCATTATAGACTTTGATAAGGTAATTAGCTTCTTTCGTTTCAGTTACTTCTTCATGTATAGGAATCTTACTAATCGTTTGTTCCTTCTCATTATCGTTACAAGGATAATAATTGTTTAAGAGTTTTGTATAGGATTCGTATTTATTATCACTTTCGTTGAGAAATTCCATTTCCTCGATTTCTTTTTGAGCGTCGAGGAGAAAGTGGAATATTTCTTCGAACATTTTTTCAATTTCAATAAGGTCGACAGTTGGCGTGATTTCCTCTTGCATAGTGTCTTCAATAATCTTCTGAGCTTCATCACATTGTTCATACCATGTGTCATGGCGAGTTTCAGTCGTAATTTCCCCAGCCTGTTCCGCTGTTTGTTCAAGGGGGTCTGTAATCATGGACACTTCTCTTGGTTTTCTTTTACCAATCCTAGTCGGTGAGCATTCTCTTTTGTCTGACTGTACACAATCAGTACAAAGAGTACCATCGCACGGTATTAGGCATTCGTTACATAGCTTTACATTGATATATTCTAGCTTCGCCAGGAGCAATCTTCGCTCAGGTGCGATCTGTTGGTAGATGTTTTGGAAGATTTCGGCGACAGAGGCTTCTTCAGATCCCTGGTAATCGATATAGCCCATCTCTTCGACATCCTCTTCGGTGATGTATCGAGAAAGTATAGTTCAACCAATTTCGTTACATTCTTCGTAAACATTCAGAAGGATTCCTCGTTCTCGTAACTTCTGAATAGTATCACTGTTCTTCTGCCATCCTCCTCGGTTAAACCAAAAGATGCACTGATGTCAGTAGTCACAGAAGTAACGCTTTTCATAGCTTCCAGTAATGTACATGTGACGAGCTTCATCTCGATGATTACAGATGGCACAAGCTGGCAGATTTAACCTATGTTAAATCACACATTCGTTACAAGCGTTCTCCTCCCTTTCTTCCTTGGTAAAGTACGCTTTACCATAATACTGATCGAAGTACCGGTGGCATTCATAACACTGTTGAATTTGATCAACTGGTGTAATCATTAGTTTGGCTTCCTTCAGGGTAGAGAATTTCTCTTGAATTCGTTGGGCAACAAAAATTTCACGTTTAACCTTCTCGGCCCAATCTTTGCTAGTCTTAAATTCGGCCCGATAGGGTTTATGTTGTTGAATTGCGATCCAATCAACCAAATTATCATAACATCGACAGCATCGGTGATTGTTGGTGTAGAGACGCTTCGTACACCAGTATTATTTATTTGGTCCTTTCCAGTCAAGAGACCATCGTTGTCCTGGGATGTTTTCCATCTTAAATTTTTCCGTGAATCGATTACAGTCGTCCCAGGTGAATCTTTTCCATTGGACCTTCATTCCTTCTTGATACGCTTGAACATTATTAATGAACTTGACGCTTCTGACTACCCGCATCGGCACTGCTTCAAAATCCACATGTCGTAATTCTCTTCGTATCGTGTTGACCGGCATTCAATTTTCTTCAAGTATGATTTTCAGATTCTTCTGATCGAATTGGACCTTTTTTTTCTTTGATTGTACGGTCGTTCAATCGTCATCAATGTTGGGCGTTCCCAGTAGATAAGTTTGTTGGGCAAGATTTTGCTCTTCATATTCTTCCTCATCGGTCATTTCTTCTTCGGAATCATGGGACGATTCTGACTCGCTTTCTGTATTATCTTCTGGAAATCCGTTATTTTGGCCGTGAATAAATTTAAGGGAGATTTTGCCCTGTTGTCCTTCCCATTCGAACGTAAGAAGTCTTTGCTTTATATCAACGTTTGCTTGTATTTTATTTAGGAAATCCATGCCCACGACTACTGCATACGTCTTGGCTTCGGTGATGTCGACTTCGGCTGGAATTACGATTCCGTCGATGGTGATTGGAAGATCGTCAATTGCACCGAGAGGTTGTTTGGAGTTCCTATTAATATCGTTCATGGTGACGGTTGATTTCCGCTGGATTTTAATTTCCTGACTTTGTAAAAAGTGGTTGCTCGCCACGCAGCCAGATGCACCTGTATCAATAATGAGATCGATGGTAGTCTTTCCAACTCGGGCTTCGCACCATGCGGAAGTGGTTCGTAACTTTTGGGCGACCATTCCCTGCTTTTTCCAAGTAGTTCGTTTAATGGGTGGCCATCTCATCCCTTTGGACATTTTGATTCTCTGAGTGGACGACGTTTCAATGAGTTGGGCAATGGTGATATTGGCCTTGAGATTCATTAGATCTTCTACGATATCATATGGAGCAGCTTGGGAGGCGAGCACAGGTAAAATTGCTTTTCCCTTCTTCTTACGAGCCTTCTTCTTTTTTTCTATTAATCCTTCTTTATCATTTATTTTCGACGGGCCAGCTTTTTCCATATCATCATCTCCGATAATTACTTCTTCCTCGACTTCTTCATTTTCATTGACGGTACTTCGAGTATGATGCTTCTTGTTTAATGGATTATACCGGTGGTCCTGACGAGATTTCTTTTCTCCAGCCAGAGATCCGTGTATACCTAACAAAGAGTTACTACTGTTCTGTTGTTGGAGTGCGTTGGTTAATTCTTGAATTTGTGCAAGTAGAGCGGCGTTGGTATCATTATTCTGGGTGAGTCCATTATTTGTTGATTGATTTTCCATATTCGGTCGACTATTGTTTTTCACAGTCGGTTGAATATTGCCATATCAGGTGAGTATATTATTGTTCCTGTTGTTATTGTTGTTCATTCGTGGATTGGGACAGCGTGTACTAATGTGTCCTTCCTGACCACAACTGTAACAAATTATGGTTCTTCTATTATTTTGCCAGTTTTGATTATAGGTCAGATTTTTGGACGAAAATTGCGGTCGGCTTCCTATTTCGAATTGGTCCAACCTACGGGTTAGTCCTTGGATTACGTTCATCATGGCATCCATTGTTGTGTTGGGGATTCTGTCAGCCTGGTGATAAGTCTGATTATCCGTTTCTGTCTCAGCTTCTTCTGCTTTTCTTGCTACTTCTATCATGTTCAACAGAGTCCCGTCTGAATTAATTTTCACCCATTTCTTTAGGTCAGATTTCAATCCTCGTCAGAAAATTTGCACACGGTTATCAGCGTGGATATGGTTATCTGGGTCAGCTTTTCTTAGCAACTCGTAGAACTGATCAATGTAGGTGTCGACTGTTCCTTCCTGTTTGAGTTCTTCCAACTCGTCCCTCCACTGATCAACTTTACGTGGCATCCAAAATTTTTCAGTAAACCAGAATTTAAAGTTATGTTCGTCGTTGGCGTTGGTTGTTCACCTATTTAAGATCATTGTTGCATCTCGAGCGCGTTCGTCGAACCATATAGTAGCAGTTCCCTCCAAATATCCTCGTACGATCTGTATCTTTCGTGCGTCGGTGATTCTGTTTGCTGCAGCTGCCACTTCGAAATCTCGGAGCCATGTAACTGGATTTTGGTCTCCTCCTCGAAACTTCCGGATGGGAATAATTATTTTTTCGGTTGCTCTGGTGGCCTGTGCTGCAAGAGCTTCTGTAAGTTGGTTCACCGCATCTAAGACATCACCAATGTCAGCCATTTCTTTTGTTTCCGGAGAGGGGGTTCTGGTTGGTGGTGGGGTTGGAGTTTCTAGTTTTTCAGGTGGTCCCTTTTGTTCTAATTCGGCAACCTCCTCGTAAATTATCGATTCTTCTGAGCCGTTTCTCGGATAGTCTTTTTGTGTCTGCGTTTCGGTGTCAACGGTCTCGGAATAATGATCATCAGAAAATTCCTCGTCTTCTTGATCAATGTGAATGTTTTGTTCGAACGCCCGAGTCTGTACGAATCATTCGTAGACGGTATTTATTAGACGAACTTGGTCGTCCACTATCAAATATTCATCAAAGAGGACTGTATTCAGCAATCTTACTATTCGTTGTCTAATAATTGATGGGTGTACCTCCCCGTAATCGTATGAAATTAACTCGTCAAACGTTTGCTGCGTGATGCGATTATATGCACAAGCTCCTGCCAATTCAATCCAAAGCCAAAATCGTCGAAACGGAAGGGTAAATTCTCTTGGTGGTGGAAAACAAAAAGAGCAATATGGCTGTACTTGAGAGGAATTATTACTTTCGGCGTCGTGTTGTCCAAGATGATCGTTGATAAGTTCGCCAGTGAAAGTATATATCTCGTTCATCCACCGTATTAGACTTAAAGACGTATGTTTACGGAGACGTGTTGATTTTCGCGATTCTACTTTTTCACGAAGAGATGTAATAATAAAAAAAAAATTATAGAAAATAATTAATAAAGGGGATTTATTGGAATGAGTTCACAGAGGGATTGAATTGTATGAGGGTAAATTTTCCACAGAGGTGTTAGATGAAAGTAATAGATTTCTAAGGGAGAATTTTCCACAGAGAGGGCACCAAAATGTTGTGGCTACTCTTTAATTATTATAATTAAAGAAATAGTGCACACACAAGTTTTTGAGCAAAGACTGAATGATTTACTTAA